AGAGGGAAGTAATGCAGCTGTGAAATGGACTGAAAGGGTGTCCTGAGAGACACAGATAAAATTGGCTTATTTGCCTCATAGGATTCGCCTTCTTTTCCTCCGCACATTAAAGCTGAGATTGCAATTTGTCTTGCTGTTTGCTTTGAATAGACCTTAACCGTATCATCATCTCAACTGTGCTGCTGGAAAAACACGGGAGCATGGCGACAGCCAAATGGCAGTCTGGCGTCTCTGCTGCAGACTGACTGCCATTAGGGCTGAGAGCAGCATTTATTGTACAATTAGGGCCAACAAGATCTACCTGTAATCATCTCCATACAGGTGTGAGCCTCGCTCCGGACAAGGGAAGTGACTCATCACCTGTCAAACATCAACACTTTGATGTCAGCATTGTTCAGTGGGGAGCCCTCAGGACACACGAGCACTACTGTTCACCTGTTTAAAAAAAAACCCACCCAGATTTATTGCATTTCAGACAGTTAAACACACACACACACACACACACACACACACACAAGCCTGTAAAACATGAAGAAAGCGCTCCACTTTTTTTTCTTCTCTACCGATGACTGACGTTCCACATTCCATGAATCATACGATTTATGACTTCTCCTCCCCCGCCCTCCTTCTGACACTCATACTTTTGTGTCAGGAACATTTTTTTTTTTTACGAAAAGCCTTAGGTAAACAACCTGTCTCACAATACAATGGCTGCCAAGTTAACCACTGAAAACAAATTTTTGAAAGAGGCGACACCGCAGGCCCAGAGGGCAATTGGAAAAGTGCGATAACGACCCACAAGTTGGCATTATTGACAGAAGGGCTGCGGTTGGAGGAAAGTAGCCCTTTCAGGTATAATAGATGTCTAACACCATCCTCAGATCATTTCTATGACTATGACCCTGTGGCGACATTACTTTAAACAGAGTTTGTAGCTCAGAAAAGAATAAAACATCCAGGAAGACTAACTCTAAACTCTGTTGACAAAACACAAATCCATACAGACAGAGGAATCTAAATAATTATCAATTTCCTTTGATAGATTTGCTTAGAATTGTCTTAGAATGGAAAATAATAATAATCTCGACTCGACTCATTTAAATCTAGTCACAGAAACTAATGTCACTGTGAAGATGAGTAAAGGATTACCTTCAAAGGTACACAGTTGCTGGATTCGCTAGTGATGTTAAGAAAATGAATTAAATAGAGGCTTAAAACTATAATGTAAAGCTCAGTTGTGAAGAGCACAGCATCACATAATAGCCTAAACGTCTTGAAATTAGCTAGTAGATAAAAAGACATTTGTTAAGAGTACTCACTAAATACTCTATTACACCTGAATGAGATTAGATTTTCTAATACAGCAGAGAACTGTCTGAACTTGAACTAGATTAGCTTAAAAAGTCTATACGTAGGTACAAGTTAGCCTACAAATGTATTGAATACACTCGCCCTGAAACAACAACTGAAATATTCCTTAGTATTTAAAAGAAGACCAGGGACTTCCTCCACTACAAACACTCAGCCATGTTTCCCTCGTCATGTGCCACACAGGGCCCCCAGGGGGCACACCTGATCTGAGCTGAATACAGAGGGAGCCTCCATTGCCTTTATTATCTGTGAGTACTTTACTGCTGTAGTTTTTGAAGCTACTTAAGCAACAACATAAAAAAAAAAGAAAGCGAAAATTACAAAGAAAACAGGGGGCAAAACGTAATCATCACGATCTGAAGTTTTTGGCAGTCGTCACGAGGCATGAATTAGTCGTTATTGTTTTCTAAAAGAACGTTTGGTTTTTTTTGGCATTCGAAGCCCTCGCTCACTTTGATATCACATGGAAATGAGATTTTTTTTTGATGGCAAATGAAGACCATATGGGAGTATGTGCTTAATAATGTTGAGAGGGAGGAGGCTGGTCTGGGGGGNCTTGGTGCCACCTCCAGGCAGATCCTCTCACAGAGATACAACTGTTTCTGTCAGCGTGAGACCACAGAGTCAGTAGATTGACACACACACACACGCACACGTACGTGTACTGACACATGTGAAGCCCTGTGTGTTGGAGGCGACACTTCTTCTCAAAGGACTTACCATTTGTTCTTCCTCCTGATGTAGTCTTTCTCCGAGAGGTTTACGAGGTAAATCATGGGTTTGGAAGTCAAAAACAAGTATTTGTTCAACACTTCGATCTGTGATCAAAACAGACAGGGCACGTACTGAGAATCCAAACTTTCTAAAAGGAGTCTTTGAGGACAAAAACAGACCTAAAGTCTGGCGCGGCGTCTCCGTAGGGAGTCACTTGAAAGCCTTTAAACGGCTCTAAAGACTGTGAATAATATTAATTTGCGAGTTGAGCAGAAGATGCGGTGCTAACAAAACAGACAGGAGTAAAGAAGAGTTGAAGGTTCAGCTCAGACATAACATTAATGTGAGTGTTACTTCAAAGACTCACCTCCTTGTCGTTCCATTCGTGATAGTAGCGAACATGTTTCTTTTCATCAACTACCCAGCTCTTGATTTTGCACATAACGTCCTGTTTGGGGTAAAAAAAAAAAAAAAAAAAGAGAAAGAACAAGAAGCCATTAAAGGAGATGAAAAAGAATATAAACCCAGCAGGGTAGCAGGGTAATTATTTCCTAAATACATGGCATCCTGATGCCAACATGAACAATGGCTGTGCTTGTGTCGGAGCGGCAGAGTGGCCTGGGTTTTGACAGGGATAGCAGGGATGAGACCCTCTTACCCTCCTTTAAATCATGACAGAATGCCTTGTGGGGCGTCTCACTGCTCGGAGTCACAGATTTTTACATTAATATTCCACTGGGACTGTTTAATAAGACAATAGAGACGGAGAAACGGAAAAAATTGAAAAGAGTGGGGAAACTAATTGGAAGTTGGTTAGTTTGGCAGCTCCTCCTCAGGCTCTGTCACGCAGGTGCAGGTGATGTCACGGACAGTATTCTCCTGAGGAAACACTTCTAGTGTGGCGTGTTACGTAAAGGTACTTGTGGGTTGTGATTAGAGGCAGGACTGGATCTTGAAGCAGAAGACGGGTGAGAGGATGGGCGGGAAGTAGTTATAACATTTGTAAAAAAAAAAAAGAAAAGAGAGAAAGAAAGAAATCGAGCCTATTATTGTTGATCCAGCCCTACAGAAATTAGCGGAACACATTCTTTTTTGTTCCTGTCAACTTGACCTCCCCCTTCATATAAAATCTCCCCACCCCGTGCTACACTCCCCCTGCCTCCTTTTCTCCTCCCAGAATCCTTGCAGCACTTCACAATCACACTCTGTTTTTTTTTTTAAAGAATTGAGGAGAAAAAAAAATCCTGCCAGAGCCTCAATTACACAATGGCAGAAAAAAGCTGCAGACACTGACCCCCAGCCAGCTGCATTCACTCTCTGCACATCTCTCTCTGCAGGAATTCTAAAGGCCTTTTAGTCAGGCAGCCAGAGTGCAGCCAGCGGGAGAGAGCGCAGGAAGAGCTGCACACACTCCGCCCGCGCCGGCCCAAGTCTTCACAGAGAGATTAATCATCTGTGAAATGGAAACAGCATACGGCCGGTGACACGGGCCAAACCCCGCTCCAGGTTTCCCTCATCAGCTCGCCGCCATCGTGCGGCGTTCCTCTTACAGGCAGGTGTTAATAAAAGGCATGTAGGTCCCACAGGGGTCAAACACATACGCCTGCCACCACGGAGCTCCGCAGGTGGGCAGCAGAATTATTATTGTTTTGCGAGGACGAGGATGTTGAGGATTCTTCCAGACAAAGGCCGTGAAATACAATGTTCTCGTAAACACAACAAGAAGAAACAGAAGAATGGGTTTAAATCAATGTCAAACAATGTATATGTGGGCCGTTTGCCCTGCAGGTAATGATGTTCAACACCAAAGTCTGAATGGAAGAGGAAAACGAACGACGATAAAATATTCAGTGATGCTTTAGAAAGGTAATTTATTCATTTATAACCTTTAATATAATGACACTGTTACTCTGAAGTCAGAATGACAAACATCTCATTTTGATATCAACATCTAATAAAGAATACACTTTAAACTGCATTGATTTCAGTTTCAGTTTGGCATTTTTAAGAATCTGCACATATACATTAGGTCTGTCTGCTCTTAGATGTGCACAGATATGAATCAGCTGTTTCATCAGCTTTCTGAGGCCCACATTTGGAAACATGGGGCCTAATAATGGGACTCCACAAACGTTTTTAGCGCCAATATTTTACACACCTCATTGATTTTTGTGTAGTTTGATCCAAACCACTATGAAACTGATCAGTTTGACGTGTTGATGTGATAAATAATAAATAGTAAGTCATGCAGGTTTGACTGAATGGTTTATTTGTTGTTAAATCATTATTTATATTATAGAGATTTTTGTTCAACTTTGTCATGTTTTTTCAGCATCTCTTTAATCCAATCAACTGAGTTAATTATGCATGATTTTATATTACTCATTTATAACAAAAATACTAAGACCTTATTTTATAAATACACCTTTACAATCTACGAGAAAATCAGTTTTCGCTCATAAATTAAAGTAGAAGTAAACTTTCAAAATCTAGAATAAAATCAACCTTTTTTTTCCCCGTCATCCTTCTGATGATGTGACATCATTTGTCTCCATAAGAACAAGAACTAAACTATTGTTTTTTTGTTTTTTGTTTTTTGTTTAAATCACAACTGCAACAATTTTACATGAATTTCTTGCCCATATATAGCTGCTGACGTGTGCACGTGTCCGTGCACAGCTGAGTTTGGCAAATGCCAAGCTGAGCCCCTGAGACAATTGCACCAAACTGCCCCCTCCCCTGATGAAAGCCTGGTGTGCAGCCTTTACTAAGTGCCATTCTTTGCCATTTAAAGAGATCTACTATAGATTCCCACTTGCCTGACGTGTGCACAACCTTTGACAAGTAATGTAGATCATTTTTATTCATTGCCTAAAATTGTGAGCAATTATATGTGTAAGCGGCCACCTGCCTGGTCTGAATGGCCCCTGTCTGCGGGGGCTACAGGGGAGAGGGGCCGTGTTGTTGGGTGGAAAGGGGGAGTGAGATGGGATGGGATTTAGGGGTGGGGAGATAGTCTGAGGGAGACCAACCAGGCAAGCAGGTGAAATAGCCCCTCTTGTTAGTGTAATGAGTGGTCAGAGCTGAAATTGGACGAACGGCACCCAGTGAAAGGCCCGGTCTCCTCGTGTGCCTGCTCCGACGATGGGAGCATCAGGAGACATTTACAGCCAAATGGTTGGTATGTCTGGGTGCTAAGCCTCATTACCTTAACAATATAACCCCACTGAATGTCAGCGCATGCACACACATTTAATCTGACAACCAGGTTATGGAGGTTTTTTTTTCTTTCTAATCTTACCCTGTCGTTTCCCCGGACCTTGCTGCATCCACCTAAGAACTCTCCGTCAGGGAATATTCTAAACATTTATGCTATTCATAGCCAGACACTGACATGTGTGTCACCTACGGCACCATTTTCTGAGCTGCTGTAGGTGGATGAGCATGAGCCATGATTTGAGTATTACTTTAGATGAAAAGAGCTGTGTGGAAACACTTTCATTAGCTGGCTGCTGTGACCCAGGGTCAGCAGCTGAATAAGTAACTCTCTATTAATGATTTCTACAGCAGAAAACCTCTGACCCCTGATCACTTTCAATCTGAGACAGAGGGGAAAAATGGAGCTGGGGGAAGGGTGAGATTTAAAAAAAAAAACATACTTTTTCTCTCCTTGGCCATGTGTGTGGGAGGGTTATTATTTGTGTCTTGCTGCGAGGCAGAGCAAAGGGCCTGCTGGGACATTGACTCACATATTCTGGTTTGAGTTTCTTGTCACTGCCTCTGATGGCTGTCTTCTCCAGCTTGTCGATAACAGGGCCGATCATCTCTTCATCCTTCAGCCTCAGCTCCTCGTGGATGATCTCAATGTCCCTCACTGGGTCAACCGTCCCCTCCACATGGACGATATCCTCGTCCTCAAAGGCACCTGTGGTGATGTGACGAGACATTGGTTTACATGTTTACATTTGGTCAAGACTCACAGACAGTGACCAGTGTTCCTGCAGAACAGAGGCAACAAAAAAAAAAAATATATATGTGTATATATATATATTCATTTTGTTGAATAAATAAATATATATATATATGTAGACATATATATGTGTATTCTTTCTTATCACATGTGTTAAGGTTTGGTATGAACAGAGATAAGACAGCTATGTTATCTATATGTCCATGGACTCACACCATGCTGTGCGTCTGCACGCCCCCTGCTGATTCTCTGATTTCAACTCTTTGCCTTCTTTCTTGGTGGTATCTCTTCCCCAAGATTAAATCAATGGCTTGACATTGACAATAAAGGCTTTGCTCGTCATTACTGCTGAGTGGTCATGTTTCTCAGATCCAGTCTGTTGTTGTAGATATCAATAAAACACTGCTTTACAATGGTTTTCAACAGTTAATGTCTGTCCCTTTTTTAAAATGACCAATTAAAACAATTTAATAATAGGACACTTTTTTAAAATTAATTCACTGACATCTAGGCTAGATCCAGGCCAGGTCTTGGCCACCTCAGCTCTACTGTACAGGCTGAGTCCATGCTGGCAGACCTCATTTCATCTGGAGCTTCTTGTTCTATCATAATGGGTAAAAAGACCAGTAGAAATAACCTGCGTTTAAATTTGTGATTTAAATTAAAACAATCACTTCAATATAATGTGTCTATTAAACTGTAGTGTTTCTATCTGTTCTATTTGATTGTTGTTTCTTCATCAAACAGGTCAGATCAAGGTTCATGCCCACCAGGTACCCAGTAACCGTGTTGCTCTACCGGCTGTTACCACTGAGCAGCTGTGCTAAAACACACTAAGACACACTTTAATATCTGTCAACAACAGCCTACTTACTGTAAGTGACTAAAGTACCACACTGTGGTATAATGGGACCGACGTCTCATTCAACAGGCAGGAGGACGTCAGCCGAGTGACGATGTGTTGAGGGACACCGTGTGTGGAATGTGCACGGCGCCGTCACTGAAATGTATTAACTTTTCTTATTCCCGCCTCGACGCCTGAGTGTGCGACAGACTGCTGACAAGTGAAGCGCCGTGAGGTAAACACGTCATTGGTGCGATTCTTCATTACTCATCGTGGCTGTCACGCCGTCTCTCACCGTGTTCACGAAGAAAATACAGATGATTCACATAACTGGGTGTCGTTGACATGACATTTCAGGTAAATCTTTAACAGAGCTGCATCCTGTGGGAACTCATTATTTATGTAAAATGCTACACTTGTTGTCAAACCTCTTCCCTTTTTCTTTTCCCCTGCACCACATTAAATGACTTAATATCATAGTAGCTGGGTTTTAAAAATCTGTTGTCAGCACATTTTATATCTTCAGGATCGCAGAGATATGTCAGTAAATGTCAGGAGTTACCAGACAATGTTTCTCGTGTTCAGATCATCTCTGTAAAATAACTGATTCTACTTTCTGTGTTTGTCTTAGCACTGCAACATGTTGAATTTCATTAACGCTATAGCACTGACACGAATTCTGTCACATTTGTGTTTAGGGTTGTGTTACTCTTGTAACTTTCTATCAATTGCGACACAATGACATTTATTTTATGATGCTAATATTAATTTTCCTGGATTCTAATAATTTTCTATTTAGCATAGCACTGGAACACGCTAACGAACATTGACTTTATGATGCCAATGTTAGCTTCTGAATGCCAGTAACTTTACAACGCTAATATTACATCTGCTGGGATTTGTGATTCTTGTGTTTCACATAGCAAGGTGACATGCTAACTAACTGATTGTACATTTAACATGATGGTTTGCTAATTATTTAAAATGAAAGCTATAGTTAACCAAAATATTGAACCCAAATGTCAACAATATCCGGAAAACATTTTAACTTTAAATCTATTCCTTTCAGACAAAAAACCAAACCCATCAGGGAAGACCATCATATCTCGTTTCTCTAAGGAGGGAACCTGAGTCTCTGCCCTGAAATAATAAAGTGGCTATTGACAATCTAGCATCGCTGCTCATTAGCATCTCACAGCTCTACAACAAAATAGCAAAGTATGCAACAGATGCGAAAATACCAGGATGCATCACTCATGCAAGTCCACAGAAGCTATACAGTTGTGTGCACGCCGTCATCCTGTGCGTTGTCCTTGCAGTGAAATGAACTTATCCAATTACTCTTTGCCTAATCAGGCTGTTTTGGTTCCTCTCCTCTTGCAGAGGTACTCCACAGTATAAACAGTTCACTTATGCCACACAGAAAGGGGCTAATCAGTGGAATTATTGTTTTGCTGCACTAATTTACCAGATCCCTGTACAGCACTGATTGGAATGAAAATTTGCTATTGTGCCTGTGGGGCTGAGAAATTATAATCCATTGCAAATAATTTCGTTAGCTGCAGGAATATACATACATTAAAAAGCAATTATGATGTAAAGTTTTGATTTAGGGTGTTCAGTGGAAAATGCTTAAAAAACCTGTTGTTCAAAAGTGTATTTTCATTAGCAGGAAAGAGGTTTAAAATAGCTAGCAAACCACTCATGATTGGTTTAAATAACTGCTAATGAAGCCAATGGAATCAAATAAATGGACAGCCAATATTAAAAAATATATATATCTCACTTAAAGAAGTAGCAAAACGACAGTTTGGTCGTTGCTATTAATCCCACTGAACGACAGATGGATTAAAAAATACAAAGAAAGGGCGGCAGCAGCTGATCACTCACTGTTTAGTTATCAGAGGACACTCTCCAGCACATATTCCAAAGTAATTTGCTTTAATTATTTTCGCCTAATTTAACATTCTACTTTACCCCCGCCCTATTCAGTCGGGCTTAGAGATGGAGAACAAATACACTGGAGTGAAAGAAAGAAGAGAAATCTGAGGGGGCAATCTCCACAATTAGTCCTCTAACAACTGAGCCGGGGGCAAGAGAGAGAGAGAGAGAGAGAGAGAGAGAGAGTGCGAGGCTACAGGGCCACACAAAGCTGTGTGTAAGACGGTGAAAAGACAATAAAAGATGAAGTTAAAGATTAGAAAGGCCCTGTTTCACAAGTCAGATCTGTCTCTCGGTTTAAAAGCTTCTGCTTCATTTTCATACCACGTATGTTTTGATGACATTATTAACAGGTGCGCCTTTATTGGCAGAACAAAAGGATTAGTCTTCAGAGGATGATTGCCGTTCAATGGAGTGATTAGGGATCAGGCTAAGCCCTGCAAAATTATGGACTTACAGCAGCTCTGCAAGACGGCGAAACGTCACCAATAGCCTTTATGTTCCAGCCCCGTCTCCCAGAAATATGTTCCCACAGTAAGGCTTATTTCTATGTAAAAAATATGCAAATACTGATGTAGGAGTTGTTTTAGCACATCTTAGAGTTTGTAGCGTAAATAAGATAATGATGGTGGAGATCATTTCCAGGTTATATATGTGGTTTTGGTTCAGGCGGCAACCTGTGGTTTGGTTCAAGCACTTAAAGGAAAAGATGGTGGAATCTGTGGTCTGCTTCTTGGGGGACTGGATAAAAGAGTCCATAAAGTCTTGTGTGGCAGACGTCTCACAAACATCTCACTCTTGTACCACCATAATAAACCACAACAAATCTTCTCAAGAATGACTCTGGTTGATGTGGCTTCAAACTGTGGTCTGCTTCAGATATCTGGCTTCATCCTGGTTGTTCACCACTGTGAACTGCTCCCCCAGTTAAAACCTTTACTTCATAATATTGGTTTATTTATTTTTAGCAATTATTAAGATTGCATTTTAATTTTGTCAAAACTAGAGTAGAAGTTTGTGAGACAGAATGCTCTTGAAATCTTACAGATGGACATTCTCCTCCAGTGAGAAACGTGTGCTTGTGTTAAGCTGGATTTAACAAAACCTTTAGAAAATTATTACGATAAAATCAAAACCATTATTCAAGTCAAGTCAAATCCTCTTGCTGTGTTTTGATGTTTTTTTTAATGGTAAACATTACTTTTTTATATTACAATTCATTTTTTTTAGCCTTTATAATCCTCATGTCATAATAATACACTCCCACTGGGATTTTTTTTTTTTTATTGCCCCAGTAAAATATGTTTCAGTTGTTAAAATCCTGAGATGCCTCTGGCTGTTTCCAGGATGTCCAGGATAGAAGATAAAAGTGACCAATGTTAGTGATGTTTCCTCATTCGATGACATCATCTATGTTAGTTATCCACTGTTAACACAAACTCAACAGCAGAAACACGTCCTCCTAAAAACTCCTCTCCTGGACATCCTGGAAACAGCTAGAGGCTTCACAGGATTTTAACAACCGAAAAACAGTTTACAGAAAAAAAGAAAAAAAACCCTGTGGGAACGTATTATTATAAGACATGAGATGATAAAGACAGAGAAAAAAATTACATAATATAAAAAAGTAAGGTTTACCATTAAAAAACACAGCGAGGGAATTTGACTTTTATCGTAATAATTCTCCAAAGGTTTTGTTAATTCCAGGTTAACAAAAGCAGGAGTTTCCCAGTGGAGCAGAGTGACACTTTTATCTCTCTACACTGTCAAGTGCACAGACAAGTCAGTCATCTGAGTGGAGTGGAGATCAATACTGATTGAGCTGCTTCCGCTGATGCTGCTACCTGGGAGGATATGTGGTCAACATAATTCAGGTAAATTACAGTATTCATCGACTCCCGACTTCCTGTGCATGTTTTCACATGCAGGATGGGTAAGAGCACATCTGAAGAACGTGCATTCCTCACACTGCTTTTAAAATGTTCATGCAAAGTCGGTGCCGCAATTCTCCTGGTATTCAGAGCAGTAAAAGCTACTTTATGGGCCGCGTCAGGAAAAGCACATTATAAACTATGCTCCGCAGCATAAAACCACTGGCACACACACACACACACACACACACACACACACACACACACACAGGTATTCATGTTCATTCAGGAAATATCTTCCTGACATTCATTTTATGATACGTCACATTCACGGCAGTTTTTATTATGCTGATTCTAAAATGGAGCCTTGTTGCGTACGCAGGCCTGTTTTCTCTGTGGGTGGAACCTCATTTTTGGGGCATTCAGAGAAACTGCTGTTTTGTGGGGGTCCACGTTTGGATAAGTGTTGCGCAACGACACATTGGCACACAGCTCGGATGAATCCCGTAACTTGCAGACTGAAACCCAAGCCAGGGATCCATGACTGCTGCTGCTGCTGCTGCTGCTGCTGCTGCTGCTGCTGCTGCTGCTGCTGAGAAGTGAATGTTGATGGAAAGGTTTCATCTCCAAATAAACACGGAGAGAAAACAACAGCCTTAATTCCTTTATCATTAGCTTAACCTCTGTCAATCCATTTATGTTGTTAAGCCACAGTACAGCAGAGTGCCTTGATTGAAAGGCACCCTCATATGCACACCACTGTTGTACCACATCATTCAGCGAACAAACCTTTTTAGATCCTTAACTACCATAGTGCTGCTGATTGCACAGGCACCGGCAATTTCCTAACCAACCGCCACCTGAACAATGATGTGTTCAGCTTTCAGGCCCTCCAGCCTTTCAAAGGTGAATCATTTCACAGTTTGGAACGAGATCTCCATAGCAACTCCTCTTTGAAGGGTTTAGAATCACCATCCAATAATTCTATGATCATCGGGCCTTGCCATTCCTACTGGTTCTTTTCACAGAGGACAGGCAAAGAGGAGGGGGGCCAAGGAGAGGAAGCAGGAAGATTCTTCAGTTTATTTCAGCCCATTCATCTCGCTGCCCCATTAGAATTCAAAATATTGCGACCTTCAATCACCAAGCATGTTATCTGGAGCTGCGGCGATCTCCAGTCAAGATGGGTAGACATTTTGCTCTAATCATCCATGATGAGTGGAGGCTGACAAAAACGCTTCGTTCTCTCAGAAGCAAAATGCTCATTTAAATGCTGTGACAGCACCTCGACGCAGCCCCCGAAAACACACAAAAGGATGGTGGTCCATACTGCTAAATAAACCAGATATGGAATTTAGGGGTTTGGAACATAAACAAGGAGAACCTCACTACACAGGGTGGACTGTTTTCTGACTAATGTACAAGGAGGTTATTTTAAACAAGGACTGAAGGCTTCGCACAGACTATTTATTTATCACTTATCAACCTTAAAAAAATCATTTATATCATATTTGCTACGCAAGAGTCTGACTGAAAAAGTGCCATATGATGTTTGTTTTTATTTCTAAAATGAACATTTTGTGAGTAAAAAGTTGCCAGGTCTCACAGGGTTAAGGAGAGAGCGTTACTTAATCTCAGCACCAAAGTGAATCATGGGTAATGATAAAGCTCTGTGGGGTTCATGTTGTTCAAGAAAACCCCAAACTAGGTATTTTGCTCATTTTAAAGCTCGGAAACCAACAACCAACTGCACAAGCTAACTTTTGAAAGATCCATCCTCAGGCTGAAGGCGCTGAGCTGGATGAAGGGGGTTTTGGACATTTTCAAGTTTGACAAATGTCTGAGTTGGTGAGTGATCTGGCTGAATTCCAGCAGCGCAGCCACTGCTGGCGTCAGTTAGGAGGCAGGCGTCCCATAAATCATCTGCGTGTATATTAGTCAACACAGTTTGCCCTTAACAGCCGTAGCTCAACAATCATGTTGCTTTGTTCACTGAGTGAAGGATGACTTCTGATTCCTGCAAAACTTTAAAGACAAAAGAATCATTCCCCTACATTCCAAAATAAGGGGTGGCTCCACGTGAGACACTGGGAAATAAATGCCTCTACGCATTTATTAAGGAATGGGTTTTATTAGACTAAATCACTTCTGGTTGTTCCTTCAACAGGGGGCGCTACAGTGATAGTCTGTATAAACTGTATGTACCCTTGAGCACCTCCTGATATGATCATTTGATCATTGATCGTGTGGCCAGTATTTGAGTCAATGTATATCAGGTACAGAGTTAGCCTAGCTCGAGGCTTAGCTGACCCAGAAAAGGCTACTCTTGTTTCAAGCCAAATATTATATCACGTTGGTCTCGGTTGTTACTTAATGTTACTTAATGGAACTGTTGGCATGAAGACAAATATGTGAACTTTCAAACTGTTGAACTATTATCCTGAGACAGGATGTTCGAGACTAAGACCTCACCTACAAATGAAACAGTTCTCCTAGAGCAAACCACACACAAAAAAATCCTATAATCCCTTAATCAAGTCTGCTTCAAAAAAATGTTTTTAATGAAGTCGTGCCCTACCCTTCAGAAAAATCTACACTGAGACAAAAACACCTACCTAAAATGACCTACTGTACTGTTGGCTAAGGTCACAGAACGAGCAACGTTCAACCAACTTATTTTTTTTAAATAGTTTCCCACTTAAATAACATTGCTAACTCAGCACAGTGGCAACAAAAACTACAATACAAAACAGTACTGTTTTTTGCAACTTTCCATTGGTTTCATCATAAAAGTCCAATCCACTGTGATTAATCTTTTTTCAATTGTTCAGATCAATGCTTCCTTTAAGAAGTAAGATGAAGGAGGAAAACCTTCAACGGAACCAGGAGTTCAGGTGCTGAGAGCATGGACACCTCACGGTCTAATCCAAAAATAACAGCTAGTTTCCTGTCGGCTGCCAGGAACCGCAGCCAGTCCCTGGGTGCTACAGCACAGTGTCTCCGGGCTACAATCTCAGCAAGTGTCTTACAAGTGTAAGTAAGTCTTTATTAGCGGAGAGCTAAAGGCTTCCTACAGTGATTGAGATGGAGCTGGGGGAGGGGGACGGTGCACAGAGCAGCGTGTGAACATTCAAACATGTAATTGCTGGAAAGCAAACATCTGGGAATAAGGCCAGGTGAGCTGGCAGAGTCACCGCAGCAGCGAACAGAGGAGGAGATGAGGTAGAACATGTCTGTGTCTCGTCTCAGACGGTGAGGATCCAGACACGTTCCAGTCATTGCT